TCACACCAGTAATCCCAGCACTTACGGGAAGCTGAGGCGGGCAGATCACTTGAGGTGAGGAATTTGAGACCAGTCTGGCCAACACAGTGAAACTCTGTCTCTACCAAAGATACAAAAATTAGCTGGATGTGGTGATATGTGTCTGTAGTCCCAGCTACTTGGGAGACTGAGGTAGGAGAATCACTTGAACCCGGGAGGCAGAAGTTGCAGTGAGCAGTGATCACCCCACTGCACTCCGGCCTGGGTGACAGAGCAACACTCTGTCTCAAGAAGAAAAAAGTAGTATATACATACAATATTTCTCAGCCTTAAACAAAAAGGAAACTGCTTTATAAGCTGCAGTATCAAAGAACTTTGAGGACATGATGCTGTGAGAAATAAGCCAGTCACAAAAAGACAACTACGCTGCATGCTCCATTTATACGTGGTACCTAGGGTAGTCAAACTCATAGAAAAGACAGTAGCGAAGTGACTGCCAGGAAAGAGTGCCAGGAGACAAGGATTTCAGTGGGCACAGAGTTTCAGGCATCCAAGATGAAAACATTCTAGAGGTCTCTTATACAACAATGTGCACCTATAGTTAACAATACGGTACACTTCAAAATTATTCTTTTTTTCTTTTTTTTTTTAGATAGTCTCACTCCTGTTGCCCAGGCTGCAGTGCACTAGTGTGATCATGGCTCACTGCAGCCTTGACTTCCCGGGCTCAGGTGATCCTCCCACCTTAGTTTCCCAAGTAGCTGGGACTACAGGCATGTACCACGAGTCAAAACAGTTAAATTTTTTTTTTTTTTGAGATGGAGTTTCGCTCTTTTTACCCAGGCTGGAGTGCAATGGCGCGATCTTGGCTTACCGCAACCTCCACCTCCTGGGTTCAAGCAATTCTCCTGCCTCAACCTCCTGAGTAGCTGGTATTACAGGCATGTGCCACCATGCCCAGCTTTTTTTTTTTAATATATATTTTTAGTAGAGACGGGTTTTCACCATGTTGACCAGGGTGTTCTCGATCTCTTGACCTCGTGATCCATCTGCCTCGGCCTCCCAAAATGCTGGGATTACAGGCTTGAGCCACCATGCCCGGCCTAAAATTTTTTTTTCAAACAAAATTTCACTCTGTTGCCCAGGATGGAATGCAGTGGCGCTGTCTCAGCTCACTGCAAACTCCGCCTCTCGGGTTCAAGCAATTCTCTACCTCAGCCTCCCGAGTAACTGTGACTACAGGTGCTCACCACCACACCTCGCTAATTTTTGTATTTTTAGTAGAGACAGGGTTTCACCATCTTGGTCAGGCTGGTCTCAAACCCCTGACCTCGTGATCCACCCGCCTCGGCCTCCGTAAGTGCTGGGATTACAGGCCTGAGCCACTGCGCCTGGTCTTTTTTTTTTTTTTTTTTTTTGCCTTTTTAGTAGAAATGGTTTTGCCGTGTTGCCTAGGCTTGTCTTGAACTCCTGGGCTCAAGCGATCCACCCACCTTGGCCTCCCAAAGTGCTGGGACTACAGGTACGAGCCATTGTGCCTGGCATTCAAAATTATTAAGAGGGCAAATCTACGTTATGTGTTTTTTACCACACAAATATATGTAGTATTAAGTCTTTCCAGATTTGTTCCAAGCAGAATATCCATACATTCTCAATTACACACATGCACTTCAAGTGTGGAGGGGCAAACAGGAAGAATGGATTCACTTTCTCCCTCCCTCTCCACTCCCTATGCAGCCCACTGAACCTTAAGAATGACTCTATCCTAACATATCCAAGATGCTAGAGGGTCAAGGCAGAATAAAAATGTGAAAGATGTCTTAATACAAGAGGATAAGAGAGATAAGTAGACGGATTAATATTACTTATACGCGTATTTTATTTATTCTCCAAGGCGTGTGTGTAGGGGTGTGTGTGTGTGTGTGTTTTTGAGAAGGGCAAATGTATCAGGGGTGCTTGTCAGTCAATCATTCAACAGAGAAAGCTAACCGCCAACCACTCAGCTAAGTCTCAGTGAAAAAGACAGATGTTAACAGAAAATAAAAGCAGTAAGTGTGAAGAAAGCTGGCAAGAGGGAGCATCAAGTGCTGTGGGAACGCACAGCTGGGGAGGCCTGCATGGGTTTCCCAGACAAAGTGATGCTCGGGCTGGGGTTAGCCCAGAGATGAGGGGTCCAAGAGTGATCCTGGCTATGAAAGCAGCAAGCTTTAAGGTTTCGGGAACCTGGTGCTTTCGAGAATCTCACAGGAGCCCAGGGCAGGGAAAGCAGTGACTGACTGAGAGATTAGAGGTGACTCCGGAGAGATGGCAGAGGTCAGGGAGGGTCTCACTGTCATGTCAGGATGTTGGACTTTATCCCCAAGGGAACCCACTGAGTGATGAGTAGGGGAGCCACATGCTCCACTCTTTTTTTTTTTTTTTTTGGAGATCGAGTCTCGCTCTGTCACCAGCTCACTGCAACCTCTACTTCCTAGGTTCAAGTGATTCTCCTGCCTCAGCTTCTGGAGTAGCTGGGACTACAGGCACACACCACCATGCTCAGCTAATTTTTTGGTATTTTTGGTACAGACAGGGTTTTACCATGTTGGCCAGGATGGTCTTGATCACTTGACCTCATGATCCACACGCCTTGGCATCCCAAACTGCTGGAATTACAGGTGTGCGCCACGGCACCCAGCCCACTCTGACTTTCAAGTGTTGCTCTAGCTGCAGTGAGAAGCCCTAGCCCAGACATGGTGACTACAGCATCAGAGACGGGAGAGCTGGTGAGACAGGGGACAGTGACTCCAGGAATGGAAAGCAGACAGATTTCCATACCTGGAAGAAGGCTCGATTTCTATGAATAGGAAATAGAGTCGTATATTGGGCTGGTGCAAAAGCAATAGTGGTTTTTCATCATTACTTTGATGGCAAAAGCCATGATTACTTTTGCACCAAACTAACAGAATTTTGAAATGTAAAAGTGAAGGCTGAATTGGCTTAATTCGGTGACCGATTGGATGTAGAGAATGCGGGAGAGAGGGAGGAGGCACGGATGCTTCCCATCTTCTGGTTGGATAAACAAGTGGGTAATGACGTCCTTGAGGGAGATGAATTTCTGCAGAAATGGAGTTTGTGTGGAAATATGAATATGTTATGAATGTGCAGAGTCTGCAATACCTGCCCTCTGCAGCCCTTTTTTTTTTTTTTTTTTTTTTTTTGAGACTGAGGCTTGCTCTGTTGCCAGGCTAGAGTGCAGTGGCATGATCTCGGCTCACTGCAATCTCCACCTCCCAGGTTGAAGCGATTCTCCTGCCTCAGCCTCCCAAGTGGTTGGGACTTCAGGTAGCTGCCACCATGCCCAGCCAATTTTTCTACTTTTAGTAGAGATGGGGTTTCACCATGTTGGCCAGGATGGTCCCGATCTCTTGATGTGCCTCCCAAAGTACTGGGATCAGAGATGTCAGCCACTGCGCCTAGCCTGCAGCCTTTCTTTCTCCCCTTCTAGTCATTTCAGACAACATCTGATATTTCACCACTGTTATCCACTGTATTTCTCCATTGTACACAGAAATAGGGTTGGAATGAATCTTCGAGATGATTTCACCCCCTACCCTTCATTCTACATGTAAGAAAACTGAGACCCAGAGGAGTTTAGGAGACTTCGCCAAGGTGCACAGGACTCTAAACCGATACACGCCTCCCTAATCACAGTCTGTGCTCAGGTTCCCCCGAGCTCCCTGGGAAGTACATGTTTCTTTCTTTCTTCTCACACTTGCCGCTTTCACCAACTTAACCACACTTCCTGGTCCAGAAGCCCAGCCTCCTGAAGGTACTCATTCAAACATGGGAAATCATTGGTCATCTTACCAGCTGAGGCCTCTGAATACAATAATCATAGATTTATGAAAGTAAAAATAATCAGGAGCAGTTGAAAAGTAGTTGAAGTTGATAATCTGGTCAAGTTGCTCACAGAAATCTCCTGTTAGGCCATTTTAGTTTTCATTATGATTACTTTAAAAACAACATAAAACATTGAGTCCATTAATTTAATTTTTTTTTTTTTTTTTTTTTTTAAGACAGAGTCTCGCTCTGGAGTGAAGCTGACTCAGGCTGCAGTGCAGTGGTGCAATCTTGGCTCACTGTAACTTCTGCCTCCCAGGTTTAAGCGACTCTCCTGCCTCAGCCTCCAGAGTAGCTGGGATTAAAAGCGTGTGCTACCACATCTGGCTAATTTTTATTTCTTGTATAGATGGGGTTTCACCATGTTGGCCAGGCTAGTCTTGAACTCCTGGCCTTAAATAATCTGCCTGCTTAGGCCTCCCAAAGTGCTGGGATTACAGGCATGAGCCACTGCACCTGGCCACACAATATGAATTTTTAAACATCTATCTCTATGCATAATAGTTTTCTATAAAATTTTGGCTTCCCATAAAATTTTACTCATCATACATTTAAAATTGTCAGATGGTTTTATCACATGGTTTCCTACAAAATTCCACTCTTTCAACCAATGTTGGTAGGATTTGCAATTTTTTTTTTAACTGGGTAAAGAAATAAAATCTATGACTTTTGCTCTTTGAGCTTCTATGTTTATAATCTATGAGAGTAAAATGGTACATGTCAGAAACAATGTGTAATAATAGTTAACTCCAGGCATGGTTGCTCACGCCTGTAATCCTAGCACTCTGGGAGCCCAAGGCGGGAGATCACCTGAGGTCGGGAGTTCAAGACCAGCCTGACCAACATGAAGAAACCCCGTCTCTCCTAAAAACACAAAAATTAGCTAGGTGTGGTGATGCATGGCTGTGATCCCAGCTACTTGGGAGGCTGAGGCAGGAGAACTACTTGGACCTGGTAGGCGGAGGTTATGGTGAACTGAGATCACACCATTGCACTCCAGCCTGGGCAACAAGAGCAAAACTGTCTCAAAGAAAAATAAAATATAAAATAAAAATAATAGTTAATAAGGGTTTTTGTTAACTATTACAAATCCTCAACCCTATACAGTTAAAAACAAAAACAAAAACAAAAACGCTTACCTGAGGCGAGAGTCCTTAAAGGTGTCAAGATACGCAGGGTAACTCCATCCAATTTTACTGCCTTTACATCGAAGCTCTACAGTTTGTCCGGCCAGCAGACTCAGGGTAGCGGCGGGTTTCTGGAAGCGACCTTTATCCAGCACTTGCATCATGATAGACTGTGTCTTTGGTGTTGAATACGTGGAGTCCCTGTCCTTTATTTTAGGAATTTTGGGCTTCACCTTCTTGTTGGTGGGTTTGATTCTGTTCTCCCCTGGTTCTTTCGGACGCTTGTTCTTGGGAGGGTGTTGGCCAGTAACTGCACAAATGCAAGGAGGGAGAAATGGGCTAGAGTAACAGCATCCTCAGAATATTTGAGGCCAAGAACTTTTTTTCTTTTTTTGAGACAGATTCTCACTCTGTTGCCAAGGCTGGAGTTCAGTGGTGTGATCTCAGCTCACTGCAACCCCCGCCTCCCAGGTTCAAGTGATTCTCTTGACTCAGTCTCCCAAGTAGCTGAGATTACAGGTGCCCACTCCCACACCCAACTCATTTTTGTATTTTTAGTAGAGACATGGAGACAGGGTCTCACCATGTTGGCCAGGCTGGTCTCGAACTCCTGACCTCAGGTGATCCACCTGCCTTGGCCTCCCAAAGTGCTGGGATTACTTAGGCATGAACCACCATGGCCAGCCCCAATCACTTTTAGATAACTCCAGAGAAGATAACTTTTTAATTATCCCCTCCTCATATGTCAACATTGTTTTCAGTAGAAGTCATGTAATAATCATTTTTTGACTCTTTAGTTTTAAAACAATAATTAAAAAGGAATATATTTTGGCTCCAAAGAAATTATTAAATTCAGCAAAATAGTTCCTATATGAGCTGAAGTTTGCCCTTAGAAAACAAAAATATTATTGCCTGTAGTTCACACTGTCTCACAGTCTCCAAAGGATCACACAAAACAGAACTGAAGCCATTCAAGACTGGTTCTTTACTTTGCAATCTCTATGTTATCATTGTTCAATTTCATTCTACTGTTTTAACACGGAAACATAGTTCCACAGGGTCTGGAGACACAAGCTGTGCTGAAAGTGCACACAAAAGATTTGGCGTTTATGGTTAGAAACAGAATCTCACTCTGTCACCCAGGCTGGAGTGCAATGGCATGATCCTAGCTCACTGCAGCCTTGAACTTCTGGGATCAAGTGATCCTCCTGCCTCAGCCTCTTGAGTAGCTAGGCCTACACGTATGTGAGACCATGCTAAGCTAATTTTTTAAAAAAGAGATGAGGTCTTGCTATGTTGCCCAGGCTGGTCTTGAACTCCTGGCCTCAAGCAATCCTCCCACTTAGGACTCCCAAAGTGCTATGATCATAGGTGTGGGCCACTGTGCCCAGCCAAGATTCTGAACCATGATGAACTTTCTCTCAAAACAAATGATAAAGTGGAGATTACATATGTCAGGGCCTGGCGATGTCTCGTTAGAATACAACGTTTATTATTAAAGAGTAAGTATTAAATGTATACGAATCTGAAACTTACATATAAATTATTAAAACTCAACTGTAATTGTAGCAATGATTTAAAATTTCATCAACAAAATATCTTTGGGCAAGGAGTATTTTATCATCAACATTGTTGAGAGTTGCGGGCAAAGAGTGATAATAAAAAGCACTGACTGGCCGGGCATGGTGGCTCACACCTATAATCCAGCACTTTGGGAGGCAGAGGCGGACGGATCACCTGAGGTCAGGAGCTCGAGACCACCTTGGCCAACGTGGTGAAACCTCATCTCTACTAAAAATACAAAAATTAGCTGGGTGTGGTGGCAGGCGCCTGTAATCCCAACTATTCAGGTAGCTGAGGCAGCAGAATCGCTTGAACCTGAGAGACAGAGTTTGCAGTGAGCCAAGATCTTGCCATTGTATTCCAGCCTGGGCATCAAGAGTGAGACTCTGCCTCAAAAAAAAGAAAAAAGGCTTACTCACTTTAAGTTGCTTGCTTTTATTGTTGTTTTTGCCTTCCCTATAAATAAGGCACCCCTTACTGCTTGCACCCAGGGAACGGTGCCCCCAGTGTTCTGCCCCTGGCAAGCCAATGGACTCCAAAAATCTCAGCTAAGCCCCTCGCAGTCATGTAGTGGTGTCCACTCAACAAGAATGAAACGGGAACTGTGGGCCAGGCGTGGTGGCTCATGTCTGTAATCCCAGCACTTTGGGAGGCCGAGGCAGGTAGATCACTTGAGGTCACAAGTTCAAGACCAGCCTGGACAACACAGTGAAATCCCATCTCTACTAAAAATGCAAAATTAGCCAGGCGTGGTGGCACATATCTGTAGTCCCAGCTACTCGTGAGGCTGAGGCATGAGAACTGCTTGAACCCAGGAGGTGGAGCTTGCAGTGAGCCGAGACTGAGCCATTGCACTCCAGTCTAGGTGACAGTGAGACCCCATTTCCAAAAAAAAGAAAGAAAGCAAAAGAAAAAGGGGACTGTTGAGTTTCAGTCTGACCATCCGTCTGCAGAAGCTCAAAGGCCACTGTGATAGATTCCCATAGAACTACAAATTGTTCAAACTTATGAGATCCTTAGAGATCATTTAGGTCCAGTCCTCATGCTGCAGATTTAAAAACTAAAGGAGGCCCTGAAAAGCTGAATAAACCATACAAAGTCATTCAGCTGGTTAGTGGAAGAATGTGAGGGCAGAAGGCAGGGTTCCTATTCCCATTCCAAAGTGCTCATTTCACTACATGGAGATAAACATTCTGTACATATTTTGAATAAATAACCACACAGCCCTTGGCCAATTGAGAGAATTATAGGGTGTTTGTAGAAAATGGGAAAATGTGCCAGGTACAGTGACTCATGCCTGTAATCCCAGCACTTTGTGAGGCTAAGGCAGGCGATCATCACGAGATCAGGAGATCAAGACCATCCTAGCTAACATGGTGAAACCCCATCTCTACTAAAAATACAAAAAATTAGCTGAGCATGGTGGCGCGTGTACTTACTCCCAGCTACTCAGGAAGCTGAGCAGAATTGCTTGAACCCGGGAGGTAAAGGCTGCAGTGAACTGAGATCATGCCACTGCCTCCAGCCCGGGTGACAAAGCGAGACTCTATCTCAAAAAAAAAAAAAAAAAAAAAAATGGAAAATGTGATGGATCAGGAGAAAAGAATAATAAAGAATGCAATAAATGCAATTGATTTGGAATCAACTGTGTAATGATGAATTTGGTTTTCTTTGTGTGTTTCCCTTTGACCTGTGAAACAGGAGTCACGTGGTCTCCACTCTTAGTTCGGCCTAGCCCTGACTCTAGAACTAATCCTGCCCTTGGGAACTCTTGGCTCAGTGTGAACATCCAGAACACATTCTTTGGGCTTCTACGCCTCAGTCCCTGAGCCCTGCTCTCTTTTCTGTGACCTCTGTCTTCTCTTAGGCCCGAGTCTCTTCTTATTTCCCTTCCTTCCTCTACGAAGCCTCATCTTGGTTACAGACCTTACTGAACATTCTCAATCTGACCTTGAACACTAGTCTCCAGGCGGAACCCCCAACATCTGCTGTTGAATCTGCTATTTGCCCATGATTCTGCTCACCCTGCACATGTGGTTTATCACCCCTGGTTCTAATGATAGGCAGGGACAGACAGTGGCTCCCATGCACACGCTCCCAGCCTCCTAGAAGGAAAAGCAGTGCAACCGTTGGGACTGTGTCAGATCAACACAAGTACAATAATCCAACAACATCAATTATGAAGCACAAGCCTCAGCTCTGCAACAAGCTAGAAGTTACAGGTTTTTCTGTTTTTTGAGACAGAGTCTCGCTCTCTCACTCAGGCTGGAGTACACTGGTAAGATCTCAGCTCACTGCAACCTCCGACTCTTGGGCTCAAGCAATTCTCCTGCCTCAGCCTCCAGAGTAGCTGGGAATACAAGCCCTTGCCACCATGTCTGGCTATTTTTTTCTATTTTTAGTAGAGACGGGGTTTCATTGCATTAGCCAGGCTGATCTTGATCTCCTAACTTTATGATCTGCCCGCCTCAGCCTCCCAAAGTGCTAAGATTATAGGCATGAGCCACCACACCCAGCCAGTTTTTTTCCTTAAGATAGAAAATAATAGGCCAGGCATGGTGGCTCACACCTGTAATCCCACCACTTTGGGAGGTCAAGGTGGGAGGTTTGCTTGAGGCCAGGAGTTCAAGACCAGCCTAGGCAACGTGGTAAGACCTCATCTCTACAAAAATTAAGGAAAAAAAAAAAAAGCTGAGTGTGTTAACACATGCATGAAGGCTGAGGCAGGAGGATCACTAGAGCCCAGGACTCCGAGTTTAAGTTAAGCTATGAATGCACCACTGCACTCCTGTCTGGAAGACAGAGTAAGACTCTGTCTCAAAAAAAGAATGATGTCCAAGTAATCTGTGCCCCATAAATCCTTTAATGCCTATGAGATTAATGAACCTCTGAATTAATGTCTAATTTGGTGTTCTCTGTATCACATAACAGGAATTCAAGTTATCAGAACAATAACCATTTGTAAATGCTATGGAATTTAGACAAACAGCTACTTTTCTGACTTCTAAGCTATCAGATCTTATGTGTCTATGTTACCCAGGAACATCAGATTATCTGATTATGAAGATTATGTATCCAAATATTTACTGTTATATATGCAACATAATTTGACCTTTTGACCAAATAGCCCACCAGTTGAACTAACTGTATAGTTGGTCCAGCTGCCTGAACACAGAATTGGCCTATGGTTTGATGGTAACTGATGCTAAATTAAAGGAGCCAGCCTAGTGGCCCCACAGATACACAGACAGTCCTGGAATGGAGACCTCCCAAATCCCATGTCTAAATTTTAAAAGAATATGACTAGCCAGGCGAGGTGGCGCATGCCTGTAGTCCCAGCTACTCAGGAGGCTGAGGCTGGAGGATCACTTGAGCCCAGGAGTTCTGGGCTGTAGTGCGCTATGCCAATCGGGTGTCCGCACTAAGTTCGGCATCAATATGGGACCTCCCGGAAGTGGGGGCCCACCAGGTTGCCTAAGGAGGGGTGAACTGGCCCAGGTCAGAAATGGAGCAGGTCAAAACTCTGGTGCTGATCAGTAGTGGGATCGCGTCTGTGAATAACCACTGCACTCCAGCCTGGGCAACACAGCGAGACCCTGCATCTTAAAAAAAAAAAAAAAAGAAAAGAAAAGAATATGACTCTTCAGCCTACCTATGTCAAGTGGTTATTTTTCAAAGACCTGCAAAACACCATCTCTTCCAAAAAATACAAAAAACATTAGCCAGGCATGGCAGCATGCGCCAATA